AGGGGCCAGGGACCCCCTGGAAGGATTGGGCCTTCCCCAGCCTTCCCTTCCCTTCAAGGGGGGGCTTGCCCGGGCAAGCCAAGGGAATGCATAGGGTGTGGCCTAATATGCTAATGAGCTGTGCTGTCATGGGTGTGTCCTGCTGTTTCTGCTGTTGGGTGTGGCCTATTATGCTAATGAGTTCCTCCTGGGCTTTTTTTTGTAAAAAAAGCCCAGGAGGAACTCATTAGCATAATTTTTTGTAAAAAAAAAAGCCCTGATTATTCGTATTTATACCCCGCCCTCCCAGTGAACCGGCTCAGGGCGGCTTACAGAAGTCGGTACAATGTACTTAATCAGCATGAAACATTTTAAAACAGCTTAAAACTTTCACAACATTCAAACATTTAAAGTGCTCGCAGTAGTATAAAATATAAGTATGCGACAGGAGCAGCAACATATCTAGAATTTGGAGGCGAGATAAAACCTGGAGTTCTATGACTATCCGTTTGCCTTTCTATATCTGTCACTCTTTGTTTAACAAGAAGTTTGGCTCAATGGGTGTGCCTTTAAGGCTAGCAGGAATCGAGTTGGCCGGTCTCTGCCCCAAGGACCTTACAGGATGCATTACAGCAGGGGTGTGTGTGTGTGTGCATGAACGATGGGCAATGGGAGAGGCGGGTCTTGGGTGCTTGCTCAAAAAAACAGGAAAGAAGGCGTCCCCTCCCAAATAATAACACACACACCCCAATCCAATCATGAACGTACCGCTCAGGGTGGAGAATCTTCGCATCCGCTCAGGCTGCAACCCAGTCTGCTAGCTTGTAGCTGGAGGAGCGAGACTTTGCTCTCCGGCACTCCCACAGGGCAACGCCGACCCCCGCCGCTATCGCAATCAGCAGTGCTGAGAGGGGAGAAAGACAGAGAATGGGCCTCTTGAGCACATAACGCTGCCTTATACTGAATCAGATGACTGGCCCAGCAAGGTCAGTGTTGTCTACTCAGACCGGCAGCGGCTCTCCAGGGTCTCAGTCTTTCCCATTACTTACCACCTGGTCCGTTCAACTGGAGATGCCGGGGATTGAGCCTGGGACCTTCTGCGTGCCAAACAGAGGCTCTGCCACTGAGCCACAGACCCTTATTTAGGTAGCTCCGGTATCGGTGTCAGCTACGCTGCCATGGGGGTTGGGGAGCTCGGTTTGTGTCTGGTTAATTGCTACTGCATATTGCCAGCACAAATGACTGCTGGCAACAGACTTGCATATATACAGTGCTAGCTAATCAACTCATTAGCTAGCCAGAAGTGAGGACAGGATCCTGTCAGTAATCAGGGCTAAGAGATCTTCTGGCACGCATGCGTGCATTCTGCCTTTGCTCTCTCAGCTGTTGTCTTCTTACATTCCTGAGCCTGGTTACAGGTGGAGGCGAGTCTGATGATGAATTACTGGGCTGCAGCAGAGACTGATCCCTTGCAGGTGTTCCCTGGGAGGCTCTATCCTCCTCACCACTTAGATAGCTTTCAGCTACAGGATCCAGTCTTTGCCTTTCTGCTGCAGTACTGTCCTCAGGAGCCTGTTCAGGGTCCTCAGGAGCCTGTTCAGGGGCATCAGCAAAGGCAGGCATGACATCAGCAGGGGCAGGCATGACGCTGCATTCCTTTCTGTGCTTTTTCTGCTTTGTGCCGAAATGCTTATCTATACAGATGTGCAGGAGGGAGTTGTATTGTCTCGGTTTTTCCTAGGTGCCGTGGGAGAGTGTTGGTTCTCAGCTTTAGCTACCTAACGGTCTCCAAGCTTTATCCCGCGAGCGGGAGGGTGCCTAATTGGCCAGTGCTCTGGCGGGGTGTGTGTGCATACGAATACCCTATATCCTATTCTGCCCAGTGCTTATGTTACTGCATCCTATAGCTCTTCAATAAAAGTATTACCATTCCTGAATGCTTGTACTCCGTTGTTGGCTGTGGGTTCTGACAATCGGAGGTCTCAGTTGACAGTGGACCGATCTTGGCCTCGCCATGGGAAGTCGAGAAGGTTGCCCCACATAGGTCTCGTATAGATCGCTCTCCTTCGGCTGTTTCTTGGGCAAGCGATTGATCTCGGCCGGACTGTCGATATTGACGATCCAGGTCCCGCAGATGCGAGGGACATCGATATCGATCTGAGGAGTGCCCTGAGTACCGTCATTCCAGACTCATGCTCTCATACTTGCCCAGACAGGCATTGAGACCGCACTCCCCGACCTACTTCAACCCACCTGTACCGTGGGACCATAGCCAGCACATGCCTTATTGGTTCACTTCGTACCCAATGTCGGCATTGATGCCGTGGCTGACACCTGGGCCACAGTTGGACTGGGACTGTGGGTCGCGTCGTTCACGCTCTCCCCAATGTAAATCTAAACCTTCCGCGTCTCAATCCAAAGCTCCAGAGGAACCTTAACCAGAGTCAGACTATTGGAATAGTCTTCTCTGACAGCATTGGCTGCCCTCCGGGGACTCAGGCAGAGGTCCTTCCCGTCACCTACTACTTGGTCTTTTCAGCTGGAGATGCCAGGGATTGAACCTGGGACCTTCTGCATGCTGAGCAGAGGCTCTACCACTGAGCCACGGCCCCTCTTGGCTTTGGCACTGCCTTCCAAGCAGCTCCTGTTCCAAACAGACACTCAGAGATGGGCTGACGGCATTTAGACGGGAGGGCTCCTTCATCCTATGGATGCCAGATTCCATTCTTAGCCCAGCTCCTGTATCTTCTTTAATGCCAGCTCAACAGGCATAAGTTCAGCAAGCAGGTGAGCTCCCCAGAACCTATCATGCACTGCGTCTGCCTTCCGCTGAAATGGCACATGATGAAAACAGAGTAGGCAACAGTTGGCAGCAATGTTCCCTCTACATCCCCCCCCACCCCACCCCACCCCACGTGCAATGCTCCCTCTAAGCTGTGGAGTCTTGTGAACAAAAACTCTACTTTGTGAGCTGCTGGCCTTAAAGTTGTGAGCGAGTGATTTGGCTACTGCCTAAATCAGTTTGCTCTGGAGCCATCCCTTCCTGAGCTGAGACAAAAATGTGTGAGCGAGAGGCTAAAAATCTGTGAGCTAGCTCATACTAACTAAGCTTAGAGGGAACACTGGCTGCGTGGCTCCATACTGCTGCTGAGCGGGGCTTCCTGTGTTAATGAGCGGCCGCTCACATGTACACTGGTTGGCAGTGCCTCTTTTGGCCTGTGCCCCAGTCTCCCTCCCACCACAGTCACCCCTTTATGTGTGTGCCCCAGTCTCCCTCCCACCACAGTCACCCCTTTATGTGTGTGCCCCAGTCTCCCTCCCACCACAGTCACCCCTTTATGTGTGTGCCCCAGTCTCCCTCCCACCACAGTCACCCCTTTATGTGTGTGCCCCAGTCTCCCTCCCACCACAGTCACCCCTTTATGTGTGTGACACTGGCACATACAAGTCAATGGATAGGCCTTTGCTGAGATAATGGGCCTCTGTTAACTCTCCACAACAGACACCCTGTGAGGGAGGCGGGGCTGAGAGAGCTCTGACAGAAACTGCTCTTTTTCAAGAACAGCTCTTATCAGAACTACGGCTTGCCCAAGGTCATCCAGCCAGGTGCAAGTGGAATAGTGGGGAATCAAACCTGGTTCTCCGAGATTAGAGTCCGCGCGCTTAACCACGACGCCAAACTGGCTACACTACACCCTCCTTGCCAACTGGCATAAACTTGGCAAGGAGGGTGGGACAGGAATATGAACTTCCTGTTCAACTCTGTTGCATTGGGTTGAAACATCTTGATGTGTTTGTCAGAACACAACCACCCACACCATTTTGAAAGAAACACTGCTATTTACTATCGCAAAGTCCAGTGGCAAGGACTGGGTAAACGCATTCTCTCCATTTGCCTGTCATAGTGCTGGAGTTTAGTCTCTTTGTCAGTTTCAGGTGTGATGTGGACCCCGGGGCTGAGAAAGTAGCACGAGAGGCAGGATGGACGGGGACACACTCACTCTGTCGCCACACTTCCACATCCATTTCCGCCACAGTCTCTAATAAGAGTGGCGTAGTTGCACAAGCCTTCTAAGAGATTCTAAGGCTGAGGACAGACTGGCAGAATGAAGCGCGAGGGAGTCGTGGCAAAAAAGACCCAGAACAACTTGTTCCCAGTATTCCCGTTCACACTGCACCAACTGATGCGGGAGCATACCGGGGAGGAGGCACAAGGGAGCGTTTGCACTGTTGGTCCGCCCCTGGCGGAGGCGCGGCTGTAAGGCGCGGCTTTCTTTTTGGAGATATCTGGAGATATGCGTTTATGCGCATATGCGCACAAGCAATTGCGGCTTTTGGCGTCCATGCTTCATTGGTGCGGGATGAACGCGGGATGACCGTGCTCTCCAGGGTTTGCCACCACTTTCACCAGGTACTTTTTAAACTCGGGAGGCAAGCGCTACAAGACGAGCTGAGTACGGCTGGGGAACGCCTGACAGATGTGCCTGTGGGTGCGTTCAGATGCGCAGCTAATCCCGTCATGATGCCAGCTTGAATTTTATCCCGATCTTTTTAATCCATCGTAGCATGACCGGACATCCCCCTGGTGAATCGCCTTACCGCGCGCTGCCTCCGTTGTGGATTGTCTAGACGGCGTCTACTTTTTGTGCATGCGAATAGGTGTCACAGCGCGTCCTTGTTGAAGGAGGCGCGTGGTGGGTTTTTTAAAAAACCTTTTTGCGCATGTTGATCTGCGCATGTGTAGAGATTTTTTAAAATGGCACCCGCTCTGGATGGTCTGACGTCAGACCACCCTGATGGGAGGATTGCGTGCTGGTGGAACGATTAGACGGGTGAAAGTCCGCAGTTGTCCCACAAGTAACCGAAAACCCCAGTTTTAAAGTGCTATCTTTTAAGTACGGCTCCGAAGCACGGCAAAACGGGATGCCCACAGAAGAGGGACATTTCCCAGATGTTTGTGTCTGGCCATTACCTTTCGATCTGTGAGGCAATCGTGCCTCGCGCGGATCTAAAGAGCCATCTAATCAGACTCTGTGTGAACTGGCCCTTTAATCCGTTTGTGAAACGTTTCTGGCACGTGCCTATCTCGGGGCAAACTGACAGTCTGAACTTGGCCTAAGTTTTGCCTTTTGGCACAGGAAAAGCCAGCGCCACGAAGGTTAGCTGAAGGGACCCAACTTCAGATTTGGCCCCGACTAACTCATTCCATTGGTTTCAACGGGACATGAGTTAAGCTGGGCCGGGGCCCGAGAGAACTGTGGACCTTACTCACCCGTGATGGCAATCACTGCCAAATAGATGGGATCCCTGAGACTTCCTCGAGGTTCCTTTGCAGGAAAGGTCTTGCTCTCTGAAAGGAGAAAAACAGATTGGCAATGACAGCCCCCCATGCGGAAGGTGTCTTCGCCTCATCCCCCCCCCCACATACATCCCCTTGCAAAAACCAGAAGCCAGCACAACATCTTTCCGTGATTTCAGGATAATCGTCGTGACTCGGCAAGAAACCTAAAGAACGCAATGCTTCTACTTAGTTACGTTAAAGGAAAACCTCACTTGTCAATTAAACCATCAAATAAGAACATAAGAACATAAGAGAAGCCGTGTTGGATCAGGCCAACGGCACATCCAGTCGCAAAACAGCCAAAACCCAGGGGCTATCTGGAGGTCCACCAGTGGGGCCAGAACTCCAGAAGCCCTTCCACCATTGCCAAACAAGCAACAAGGATACAGAGCATCACTGCCCCAGTGTTCTATCTACACCAGGGGTGTCAAACATGCAGCCTGGGGGCCGGATCAGGCCCCCAGAGGGCTTCCATCAGGCCCGCAGTGGAACTGGCCGTCTCCTGCTTCCAGTTCAGCTGCTGCTGCTGCATCTTAGCTTGCTTTGCCAGACTCTCTCACTCGCTCAGCCATTTCATGTTTTAACCTGCGTCCTAGACTCAGAACTCTCAGCATGGGATTTCTGTGGTGAATGTCAATAAATCAAAAGTAGGTGTGCAGCTTACAGAGCTAATCTGTTAATCATGTTTTTCTTTTAAGTAAAAAAAAATTGTGTTTGTGTCCTTTATAAAGTTTACATCTCCGCTACCTGGCATTACATTTTATGACACACACGGCCCGGCCCAACAAGGTCTCATTTATGTCAGACCCGACCCTCATAATAAACGAGTTCGACACCCCAGATCTACACCTTCTGGCTAATAGCCACAGATGGACCGCTGCTCCATATGTTTATCCAATCCCCTCTTGAAGCTGTCTGTGCTTATAGCTGCCACCACTTCCTGTGGCAGTGAATTCCACATGTTCCTTGAAGCCTAGAAAGCCACTGTGTGAGCTAGAGGAGTTAGCTGTGTTAGTGTGTTGCTGCAAAATAGTAAAAAGCCTGGTAGCACCTTTAATACTAACAAATCTTATTGTAAGACTAACAAACTTTATTGCAGCATAAGCTTTCGAGAAACACAGCTCTCTTCGTCAGAGGCATCTGACGAAGAGAGCTGTGCTTCTCGAAAGCTTATGCCACAATAAAGTTTGTTAGTGCTACCGGGCTTTTTACTGTGTGAGCTGGCAGCTGCCCTTCCTAACTCCATTTCTAGCAAAGGACGGATCAGGGGCGCCGGCTTTTTAATACTTGCCATGGCTATTATTTCTATGTCAAACTGCCTTTTAACTTCGTAACCCTAGGCTGATCGAGGTGTTCCATGGTAAAAGCCCAACAGAAGCCCGATTCTGTGACTCAATACGCTGAGAGAAAGCTTGACTGATACTGTGCCAGCTAGCCTGATGTTCCTTGAGGCCAGGCCAAAGACATCCAGGGAAAGTAGGGGGGGGGGGGGGGGAGAGATTGCCGTGTGCAAACACAGATATTACCTGGAGAGCAAGGCGAGATCTTGCCAGCTGCAGGCAGGGAGGGGTGGGGCAGGGGTGTGGAAGGAGGACTATGGCTTTGGAGCATAGCAATAACATTGCTGCCAGCAAAAGAGAGGCTTCAGCCCCGGCACGGACAGCAGCAGCGTCCACTTTGTACAGAATCAACACTGAGCACTACAGAAGTGGTTTATAACTAAAATCTCCAGCTTTATAAACGCTCAGGCAGCAACCAATTATCTTATTTACTGCAGGAACGAAAGGCTCTTCCCGTCCTATCCAGCTTTGTAAAAGCTCAGGCAGGTCATCTTTCTATGTTCGGCAACCAATTATCTTATTTACTGCAGGAACGAGATGCTCTTCCCGTCCTTGGTTTGTAGGACATCTGGCTGGCGAGAGGCAGAATGGTGAAAAGAAGAGAACATTGGATTTATATCCCGCCCTTCACTACCGGAAGGAGTCTCAGAGCGGCTTCCAATCTCCTTTCCCTTCCCCACCCCACAACAGACGCCCTGTGAGGTAGGTGGGGCCGAGAGAGCTCTTTCGAGAACTGCCCTTGAGAGAACAGCTCTGAGAGAACTTGTGACTGACCCAAGGTCAGTCCAGCAGCTGCATGTGGAGGAGTGGGGAATCAAGCCCAGTCCTCCCAGATTTGAGTCCGCGCTCCCAACCACTACACCAAACTGGCTCTCAAAGGCATTCTGGAACAGACGGGAAAATGGCGGGAGGGTGAGCCAAGACACCCCCACACATTGTACACCTGCTCCCCCCCCCAAACAGACACCTATTTTCCTCACCAGGTTTAGTTGCCACTGAAGACGGCAGCAAATCTAAGCCACAGTTCTGTTCGTCCTGCTCATCGATGCAATCCGCATGGCCGTCACACCTCCACTCCAGGGGGAAACAGGCAGCACCTGGAGTGCACTGGAACTCATTTTCAGAGCAGGCCGAGGAAGAGAGGGCCAGTTTGGGCTGGGCCGTCTGGAACTCACAGTCCTTGGCCAATGCGTCAGAGCTGTCCGGGCAGTCTAGATAGCAATCGCAGAACTGCTCCGAGGGCAGGCAGGGGCCCCTGCCGCCACACTGCCATTCGTCAGGCGCGCACGAGACGTTTCCAGAGCCGCAGTGGCTCTCGTCGCTGCCGTCTGCGCAATCGGGCTTCCCGTCGCACCTCATGCCCAGTGGCACCCGGCCCCCATCCTCACATGGGAAGCTGCAAGCCGTGCTGCTGAAGACATCTGCAGAGAGAGAGAAATGGTGAAGGAACAGCTGAGTCAGTCAAGACCCAACCCATAATATTGATATAGCTGATTGGTCTAAAATATGGAAATCAATAAAATACACACGAGCAATACCATATACGGAAAATATATACAAAATATTTTTAGGTGGCACTGGTCACCACATAAAATAGCTAAGTGTTACATAAATGCCTCAAAAATTGCTGGAAATGTAAATATAATGTCGGTAATTTTTAACATATGTGGTGAAGGTGTAGCATAACACAAAATTACTGGCGTACAATACATAAAGCTATACATATGACAAGTGGCAACTGAGGCTTTCTGCAGGTTGCATCCCACACACGCAGTCTCTAGTGGGCCCTCCGCATGCATATCACCTCGGAGATTTTTAGCATTTGTGTGTAGACCTTGAAAAGGCACGACTGGGACTTTAGTGCCATTTAAGAGCTTGGGGGTGCTCATGGACTCCGCCTTGCTGTCTGAAAGGTGGCTATTAGCCACAAGGTATAGATTACTGGAGGTTAAGATGCTGAGCTGCGGACCGGAAGGTCGGTAGTTCGGCAGTTCGAGACCCGAGTGGCGCATGACAGAGTGAGCTCCTGTCGTCTGGCCCCAGCTCCTGCCAACCTAGCAGTTCAAAAGCAAGAAATTGAACTTTATTGCAATCGGTACATCTGCCAAGAATGATGTAAAATAATATAAATAAAAACTTGGGGAGGGGGGGGGAGACCCAACCCAAACCAGGGGTGAATGTAAGGCGGTAGAGAGAGCCTAAGAAAGGGACAGCCCAAATCTTCTGCCAGGAAGAATGCAATTTGCCATCACCCCTGCACCCAGCCAAATGCCCTGACCTGGACAGCCCAGGCTCGACCGATCTCGTCAGATCTCAGAAGCAGGGTTGGTCCTGGCTAGTATATGGATGGGTGGCCTCCAAGGAATACCAGGGTCGTGACGCAGAGGCAGGCAGTGGCAAACCACCTCTGAAACATCTCTTAACTCAAAAACAAGTCTAGCTCGCCACCTAGTGGTGCATAACGCTAAAAGAGCTAGAACTTCTGGCTGCCAGACAATCTTGAGATCTCCTGGCTACACTACACACCGGTGTTCCCTCTAAGCTGAGTTAGTGTGAGCTAGCTCACACTTTTTTAGCCTCCGGCTCACACATTTTTGTCTTCACTCAGAAACGGTGGCGCCAAAGCAAACTAATGTATGCAGTCGCCAAATGGCTCGCTCACAACTTTAATGCCAGTTGCTCACAAAGTAGGATTTTTGCTCACAAGACTCCACAGGTTGGGGGGAGCACTGCTACACACACTGCCATACAATAATTATTATTGCCCAAACAAATAACCCATTGCGCTGTGGAGCACCCTACCCAGGATCCTAAGCAAGTGATGGCATCAGCCTACCCTGAGGCTGGACTTCGTAACACTATCCCGTGATCTCTCGCCCTTGACGTTACCTTGAGGTTGGGGCAGCTGCCAGGCACCAAGACTTCTGGTGGGACCAATTGCTGCTGACCCCCCCCCCCCCCGCCCCCCAACCCCCCCCATGCTCCCACCTGCCCAGAGAGACTGAGGAAAGGCATGTGGGTGGTACACGGCAGTGGCACTCCCGGTGGCAATAGCAGCAGCATTTTGAGCCGCGTAGTCTGGCCAGGGCTGCTGGGGAAAGGGTGTGCAGGCGGGGCAGGCAACAGACCTGCTACGAAGAAGAAGAAGAGGAGGAGGAAGAGGAGGAGGAGGAGGAGATTGGATTGATACCCTGCCCTTCGCTACCCAAAGGAGTCTCAGAGCGGCTTACAAACTCCTCTCCCTTCCCCTCCCCACAACAGACACCCTCTTTTCCTTTTCCCTCCCCACAACAGAAGAAGAAGAAGAGGAAGAAGAAGAGGAGGAGGAGGAGGAGATTGGGTTTATACCCCGCCCTTCACTACCCAAAGGAGTCTCAGAGGGGCTTACAAACTCATTCCCCTTCCCCTCCCCACAACAGATACCCTGAGAGCTCAGGCTAAGAGAGCTCTGACAGAAACTGCTCTTTTTCAAGAACGGCTCTTATCAGAGCTACGGCTTGCCCAAGGTCGTCCAGCAGGTGCAAGCGGAGGAGTGGGGAATCAAACCTGGTTCTTCCAGATTAGAGTCAGCGCACTTAACCACTACACCAGACTGGCTCCTGCTGTCCTAGACTTCTGAAACTCTCTAGAAGTCGGCCCAACAATATCATTGGCAAACGCTGACCAATGCTGGTTTGTTCATCGGTTCTAAGTGGAAAGCCATTCTCGGTGATGGGCTGTTTAAGCATTTATTTCTTAGGCCAGGCAGATATGACAAGTGGCAACTGAGGTTTTCTGCAGGTTGCATCCCACACACGCAGTCTCTAGTGGGCCCTCCGCATGCATATCACCTCGGAGATTTTTAGCATTTGTGTGTAGACCTTGAAAAGGCACGACTGGGACTTTAGTGCCATTTAAGAGCTTGGGGGTGCTCATGGACTCCGCTTTGCTGTCTGAAAGGTGGCTATTAGCCACAAGGTATAGATTACTGGAGGTTAAGATGCTGAGCTGCGGACCGGAAGGTCGGTAGTTCGGCAGTTCGAGACCCGAGTGGCGTGTGACAGAGTGAGCTCCCGTCGTCTGGCCCCAGCTCCTGCCAACCTAACAGTTCGAAAGCAAGAAATTGCAGGTAGATAATAGGTACCGCTTTCGTTCTGTGTGCCTTGGCGTTTAGTCATGCCGGCCACATGACCATGGAAATGTCTTTGGACAGTGCTGGCTCTTCGGCTTGGAAACGGAGATGAGCACCACCCTCTAGAGTCTGATTCGACTGGCTTTTGAGCAAGGGGAACCTTTACCTTTATAGATAGGAACTCTCAGTCTGGGGCAAGTGATGCTCTGTATTCTTGGTGCTTGGGGGGGCAACAGTGGGGGAGCTTCTGGTGTCCTGGCCCCACTGCTGGACCTCCTGATGGTAGCTGGTATTTTTGGCCTCTGTGTGACAGAGTGTTGGACTGGGTGGGCCATTGGCCTGATCCAACATGGGCTTCTCTTACATTCTTATGAAAAGGAAGTTGGCATGGTGGCCAGGAGCACTGCTGCACTGGATTCACCAACTTGCTCATTACCTAGATTCAGCCGATCTGGCCAGGCTGACCCATGCTGCTGTAACCTTACAGCTGGATTACTGCAATGCACTCTACGTGGGGCTGCCCTTGCAGGCTACCCAGAAAGTACAACTGGTCATAACGCAGCAGCCCAACTCTTGTCAGGGGCTAGCCACTGGGAAAGTATGCTGAAACACTTACGTTGGCTGCCAGTCTGTTTGCGAGTTCAATTCAAAGCACCGGTTACGACTTTTAAAGCCCTTCACGACCTAGGGCTCACATATTTGAAGAACTGTCTCCATTCCATGTGTCCCTGTATGCCAACTACAGTCATCAGGCAGCCATCTGTTGGCTAGCCCATCACTTAGGGTGGCCCGTCTGGCAACGACCAGAGCCCCAGGTCTTTGCCCTCACGGCTCTGGCTCTGTGGAATGGGCTCCCTGAAGAGGTGAGGGGGGCTCCCTCCTTGGAGATCCTAGAAGGTAATTTGGTGTAGTGGTTAAGAGCGCAGCCTCTAATTCGGAAGAACCGGGTTTGACTCCTCCACATGCAGGTGCTGGTGTGACTTTGGGTCAGTCGCAAGTTATTTCAGAGCTGTTCTCTCTGGAGCAGTTCTCGAGAGAGCTCTCTCAGCCCCACCTACAGGGTGTCTGTTGTGGGGAGGGGAGAGGAAAGGAGTTTGTAAGCCGCTCTGAGACTCCTTCGGGTAGTGAAAGGCAGGGTATAAATCCAATCTCCTACTCTTCTTCAGGAGGCACTGTAAGTCCTGCTTGTTTGTCAGGGCTGGGGGTGGTGGTTTTGAATCGGAAAGCATCTTTTAAAGGTGGCATGAAGGAGAGATTAGGGGTTTGCTGTTTTATGTTTGGTTTTAAACTGAAAAACAAACCATTATCGTAAGCAATGTTCCCTCTAAGCCGCGCAGTCTGTCTTGAACCGCAAGGAAAGGCAGGTTAGAGCTGTTTTAGTAAATACATAACTCTCCAGATTGAGAATGCTCTAACGCATGGTTTTGTGTGGTTGCAATCCTAAACTATTTACTTAGAAGTAAGCCTGACTGAACCCAGGGGGACTTAAGTGCAGAGGATTGGGTTGTCAACAAAGCCAGTCGCAAGGGAGCACAAGGAAACCTGGGAAATGAGCCACACCTAGCCGACTCGCCACCTTTTCAAACGCTTAGCGGGACAGTAAAACAATCTGTATTATGACCAGCCCAAAACTCCAAAGGAGAAGCCCCAATAAAAATATATATTGTTTTACTGTTCCTGTTTGGAATCCTTCAAATGGGCTGACATCCTTGGGCGTCTGCCACCGGTCTTGGCTCCTGATTCCCACCAAGGCACGTAGCTGTACAAGAGACCAAAGAAACTCAGAAATGTGACAGGAAAAGCCAAAGTAGCCGATTACGTGCAAATGCCAAGCCTTCTTGGCAGGAAACAAAGGTGTCAGCAGGCTGTTCTAAGACAAAGGCTGGGGGGGGGGAAGGACTCCGCCGCGTTTCTGTATATGAAGAGATCCAGTACAAAGGACAAACTGATAGGGCACCTATGCCAGTTAAGAACTTTTAAATACCTTCCTTTGTTTTATTTGAAATATTTTATCCTACTTTCCCCACTGTACTCAAGGCAGGAGGAAGAAGAAGAAGAAGAAGCGATTGGATTTATACCCCGCCCTTCGCTTGGAGTCTCAGAGCGGCTAACAAACTCCTTTCCCTTTTCCTCCCCACAACAGACACCCTGTGAGGTGGGTGGGGCTGAGAGAGCTCTGACAGGAACTGGTCTTTTTCAAGGACAGCTGTCCCAGAGCTTGTGACTGACCCAAGGTCACATCAGCAGGTGCAAGTGGAGGAGTGGGGAATCAAACCCGGTTCTCCCAGATTAGAGTCTGCACACTTAACCACTACACCAAACAGATGTATGTATGTAAACTGCTGTCCAGTCAAGGCTCACTTATGGCAACGCCGGCAAGGGGCTCTCAAGGCAAGAGAGAAGCCGTGGTGGCTGGCCATTGCCTTCCTTTGCAAAGTCTTCCTTGGCGGTCTCCCTTCCAAATACCGACCCTGCTTAACCTCTGAGACCTGACCAGATTGGGCTATATCAAGGGCGGCCAAACGTGCTCAGCGTAAGAGCCACAGAGAATAAACATCAGAGGCTTGAGAGCCGCGAGACACACACGTTTTTATTAAAAATATATGCACATTTGCTTTTTTATCAACACGAAATGTGACTGCCAGAAATTAAAAACCAAAGGGGTCAATACAGATATTGATAATGATATTTCTCCAATGATATTTATTTGTTTGCTAATGATATTTATTTGCCTAAGAGGGAGGGGGAAAGAGAGAGGTGGAAAGAAAGAATGAAAGAGGTAGAAAGAAGTAAAGGCTGAAGGACTCTGAATGGTGCGCCTTGGAAGATGATGAAAAGGGATGATTTGGGGGCAGTGTCCTTAGACAGTGAAGTTGTAAGAGTTTTTACAAAGAAAAAGTAGTCTTGATTTTTGACTCAGTTTGTTATATGCTTAAAAGAAGGGAAGTTTTTACGGTAACTAAGCCAATGAAGATCTCCTCTCTTGAAATAAATAAATAAATCCTTTCTTTGTCCTGTATATGTAGTCCCCCTTCCTGTTTTTCTGTAGTTGTTTTTTGTAGTTTGAAAAAATAATAAGAAATCCCCTCCGGGAGCTTAAAGGAAAAAAGAAAGAAAGAGGTAGAAAGAAAGAGAGGAGAGAAAGAGAGAGAGAGAAATAGACGGGAGGGAGAAAAAGTATGTCTCCCCTTCGCTTCCCCAGCTGCCCTGCCGGGAGCCGCACAATACGTGTCAAAGAGCCGCCTGTGGCTCCTGAGCCATGGTTTGGCCACCCCTGGGCTATACACCATGCAGCCTCCCCTCCCCTGCAGAGTATAAGCACACAGAGATCAAAGCAGCATCAAACTCGTGAGTTAAAACAATCAAGTTAATTCTGCAACCTTGCCAGCCGACGTTTCATTCCTTACATGCTTCACTGGACATCAAAGGAGGCTAAAGACCCTGGAATTGGGATTTAGAAGTGCTGGGCTGTGGCTGGATCAGAGGGGCTGGAGATCGGTGATAATGTTTTTTCTGCAAAAGGTCCCAGGTTCAATCCCCAGCATCGCCCCGATGCTCGGAAAGGCCTTTCTCTGCCTAAGGTCCTACAGATCCACCGCCCGTCAACGTACAGTTCTGAGCTAGATGGACCGATGATCTGAGTCACCAGAAGGCGGCTTCAGTTGTTCCCCAGCAAAACTCTGCAGCCATGCGCTGCTTTCTGCAGGCGCTCAGCAAAGCTGATGGGCAGCAGAGTCAACTCTGCACTTAGAGCTGTGGATCTCAGCACGCAGTGATAGCAAGTAACTAGTTTATTTGGTTTTAAAGGGGCTCTGGCCAAACTCAACAGAGGAGAAGAGCCCATCAATTGCTGTTAGCCACAGTGATTCCATATTCAGATATGGAATACCTCTCTGCAAGGGTCATTTCCTGCAGGAGCTCACAGGAGCGGAGCTCTGGCAGTAGAGAGCCCAGGGGGCGGGCACATGAAACAAGCCCCACCCCCTGCTCCCAGCAGCCCTCAGTCAGAGCAAGAAGCAGCCAGGTAAGTTGCAAAGCCCCCCCCCCCGGCCCCCGGCCCAAAACAGTCCAGTGGCACCTTTAAGATCAGGTTTTATTCAGGTACAAGCTCTCTCTCCTCTGTGAGGGCAGATCTGCACATTCCCCTCCCCCCAATAGCTAGCAATCCAGAACAGTCCAGTGGAGCCTGAGCGGTGGGTGTTGTCTTCTGACACACTTCCGGTGATGTCAGGGGGTGTGGCATATACAAATAAGCTATGCTAATGAGTTATGCTAATTAGTTCCTGCACCTCTTTTTCTACAAAATGACCCCTGCCTCTCTGAATGTCAAAGCGGGGGGAGGGCAACAATACAGTGTGATTTTGACCACCATGCCCTATTTGTTGGCCTTCCAAGGGAATCTGCTCGGCTCATGTGGCGGAGTGGCTAATAGCGGCAGACTCTAATCTGGAGAGCCAGGCTCCTCCATATGAAGTCTGCTGGGTGACCCTGGGCCAGTCACAGTTCTCTCAGAGCTCTCTCAGCTCCACCTTCCTCCCATGGTGTCTGTTGTGGGAAGAGGAAGGGAAAGGCAATTGTAAGCCACTTTGAGACTCCTTAAGGTAGAGAAAAGCGAGGCATAAAAGCCTACTCCTCTACTCTTCATTGTGGGAAACAAAACACAAGACTAGAGGGCCCCTCTAAGCTGAGTTAGTGTGAGCTAGCTCACACTAGTTTTTTAGCCACTGGCTCGCAGATGTTTGTCTTCGTTCAGGAAGAGTTTTAGTTTAGGAAGGATGGCTCCAGAGCAAACTAATTTATACAGCAGCCATATTGCTCGCTCACAACTTCACAAAGTAGTACATCACAAAGTAGAATTTTTGCTCGCAAGACTCCACAACTTAGAGGGAGCATTGGCCCTTGGTCTGATTCAGCAGGGCTACTTCTATGTTTACAGCCCAGTTGTAGGCAGAGTTAGGCACACTTGAGCTCAATAATCTAAAAGTAATTTCAGCATGCATAATTCTGCATAGGATTGAACTGCCAGATTAGAACTTTCTTGGTTCCATGGGCTTGCAATATCTGGGTTTTTTAAAAAGCATAATGTATGTAAATACCACTGTATAAAGCAACTAATAATAATATTATAGAAGAAGAAGAAGTGATTGGATTTATACCCCGCCCTTCACTTGGAGTCTCAGAACGGCTTACAAACTCCTTTCCCTTCCTCTCCCCACAACAGACACCCTGGGAGGTAGAAGAAGAAGAGATTGGATTTATACTTCACTACCCAAGGGAGTCTCAGAGCGGCTTACAAACTACTTTCCCTTCCCCTCCCCACAACAGACACCCTGTGAGGCGGGTGAGGCTGAGAGAGCTCTGACAGAAACTGCTCTTTTTCAAGGACAGCGGTGCCAGAGCTTGTGACTGACCCAAGGTCACATCAGCAGGTGCAAGTGGAGGAGTGGGGAATCAAAGCCGGTTCTCCCAGTTTAGAGTCCGCACACTTCACCACTACACCAAACTGGCTCTTATAGATTAATCATGCGCTTAAGGGACACATTTTGAAATATTATGTGTGTGTGTGTGATATAAAATAAATATTTTAAATAAATAATGTGTGTGTATGTATGTGTGGGGAGCTGCGGTGCCTCAAGTGGTTAAGACGCTGAACTGCAGACCAGAAGGTCGGTAGTTCAGGAGTTCGAGAAGTGCCGCATGACGGAGTGAGCTCCCGTCTCTGGTCCCAGCTCCTACCAACCCAGCAATTCAGAAGCAAGAAATTGCAAGTAGATAAATAGGTACCACTTCGGTGGGAAGGTAACAGCGTTCCGTGCACCTCGGCGTCTAGTCATGCCGGCCACATGACCACGGAAACGTCTTCGGACAGCGCTGGCTCTTCGGCTTGGAAATGGAGATGAACCGCAACCCTAGAGTCGGACTCGGCTGGCTTTCGAGCAAGGGGAAACCTTTACTATGTGTGTATGTATATAAACACTTAAAATATTGCATTTCCATAAAATGCATTGATCTAAACTAGGCATTCCCCTTCCTTCCCTTGCCCAGTGTCAACTTTTGGAATGAGTCCCTAAACTCTACGGATTGAGACGTTTGCACAAAGGAGGCGAGGGTCTCCTTGACAGCGACCTCCCATCCCCATGGTAACCCAGAGAAGGACCCTCCTCCCGGAGGAGGCGGAGCCAAGAGGGGGCGATGGCCCTCGTGCGCCCAATAAGGGGGCGCAGACGCCACCAAGGCACCGCACCACGCGCGCGGGGAGAAAGCAAGCCATGAGGAGCAGACCGGTAACCAATCGGCGCCCGTTGCACGCCGCAGCCTCCGAGCAGTGACCAATCGGTGGGGCTGAGGGGCGTGGCTCTCCGGCGCCTCGAGCTTTTCTCTTTAGTAAAGCCGCCTCTCTCAGTCACTCACCGGTCTCGGCGGCCCGAGCGCAGAGCTGTCCCGTCACCGCCAGGAAGAGAGCGAGGAGGAAGAGCTGCTGCATGACGCCCGTCCAGATGACACCTCCGCACGCCTGGAACTCATCTGGCGCCCCTGCGGCTGCTGTGTCAATTTTCTCTCGCGCTCCGATTCAAGCATGCGCACAAGGCGGGGAGTGACGTCACGGGGACGGACACCTTGACGCCCCTCTCGCGCTTAACGACCCCGAGCATGCGCAGAGCGGCTCTTTTCGGGCGCTTCCCTTCCACAGCAGGTGGGTCTGGCAACCAAGGGTGCAGGGGCGGGTTAAACCTTAAGATGACCAAGCACGTGCTCAGGGCACAAGGGGGCACCACAATGTTTGGAAAAGGGTGAAAAGGAAAGAAAAAAAAACAAAACGAAGATTTGTAAATAAATAAATTGATTGATAAAATTAGTGCAAATTGATCATGGTGCAC